CCTTAAGTAACCCGAATTACCCGGGCTCGTAACTTTCCCTGGGTGGGGTCTCTGGTTTGAAGGAGCTAAAACAATGTTGGTCAATACAGCCTTTCTTTAGGACATTTCTGTGATTTTAATCAACCCAACCGCGACAGGTCATTGTCTTTGCTCCTAAGACTAAGAATAAAAGCTATTATCATCTAAAGCCGTGGATTTTTTTTACAAAGAAAAAACTTTCCTATTATCCTACATTTAGAAAATAGACTGAGGGAAGTCAAAAGAAACTCGTCCGAGATCAATAAAACTGTCTCGATCAATATTTAAAAATGCTAGAATAATGTATAAACGGTGTTGAGTCTGAAAGCAAAAGTTTAATTTTCTATGAAAAAAACCCCTATATTTTAAGTTTAAAAGTGATTAAAATTGTATACAGAGTGTCCCGTGGGCAGACGTCAATACTTTATGAGGTCATTCTGAATTACAAATTAGACGTGAAAATAGCTGTCCAATGTCTGATTCTCAATTGTATTCCAGATACTTTTTAAGTTATATTAACATTTCACAACTTTATTACAAAAATCCATTATATTTAGTCGTCTGATTGACCAAACTACTTCTTTCAAATAATTAATCTTTTTATGTAAGGTTGTGTTTGAATTGAAAAAATTTAGTGTTACGAGCGGGATTCGAACCCACGACCTTTGCCTCAATACGCCGTTGCTCGACCACTTGTCACGATAGCTCAAATGGTAGAGCGACGGCATATTTAGCCGAAGGTCGTGGGTTCGAAACCCGCTCGTGACACTACCATTTTCATTTTAACCAACTTACATAAAAAGATTAATTAATTGAACAGAAAAAAACAAACATAAACGTAACTTTTTAGAAATGGTTTACATCAAAGGAGTACACAGCATCAATTACAGAACAGAAACAGTTAAACTCGGTCGCAGCTACGCTAATTTCATTAATTAAATTCAATATCAATAACATACATAAAACACACAAAACATATAATACAATATATGAAACAATGATTATTTGGATATCGTGAGATGCTGTCTGGTGTGACGTAGGTTCAGAAAAACATTTTCTTTATCGTGCGAACATTTCGATCTATTGTCAATTAAGTAATCTTTTTATGTAACGTTTTCGTTGAATATGAAAAAGCTACTCTTCGGAGCGGGATTTGAACCCACGACCTTCGGCTCAATACGCCTCTGCTCTAACCACTTGAGCTAACGTGACTTCGATTCACTCGGACCAACACCCATCCCAACCTACATCCTTTCGAATTTTCCCTCCTTTTTGCCATTTTTCAAATGTCGTGTAGTAAGGATTCTATTCTCGGCGACATATGGACTGCCCACGGAGAGCTGTTAGTGAAGTTATTCTTCGTTTTACTTATTAAATCCATTATATTTAGTGGTCTGATTGACAAAATTACTTCTTTCAATTAATATTCATTTTATGTAGGGTTTGGTTGAAATGAAAATGTCAGTGTCACGAGCGGGATTCGAACCCATGACCTTCGGCTCAATACGCCGCTGTTCTAACCACTTGATCTACCGTGACTTCCATCCACTCGGACACCAACTGTCGTGTAATCAGGGTTCGATTCTCAGCGGCTTATGGGGGAGCTGTTAGTGAAGTCATACTTCTTTCAGTTATTTTCTATAAAGTTCAACGCATCTCGTCAATCCTACTACAAATTAGATTAAAATAATGGAAAAAGCGAAAAAAATCTATGAGATTCATTTTTTTACTGTAACCTTGAGGAATTATACTTATACTTAGAAGATTAACTTTTACGAGCTTACGAAGTTACGGTCTAAAGTTTAAGTAAGATTTTATTGGTCCTGTTACTATTCGCCGATACGCTCTTTACAGAAAAGCCCCTAAAAATGACCGCTGTAGTTAATTTTTGTGATGTAAACTTCGTAAACTCGTAAGAAATTTATCCTCTCAGTGATTTTTTTTTAATTAAAAAAAACACAAATCCATCTCACAAATCCATGTGAAGAACGTTTTTCGTCGAACATTTTGGTCAGTCTATGTCTTTCTGTTTTGATCTTCTACTTTTCAAGTTGTAAAATACAGTTACACTTAACAAAACTTATAAGACGAAGACATCGAAGCATGCTAGATGCATTAGCACATAAAAAGGTTATATCCTAAATGGTTTACCATAACTAACCAATGTAAAAATAAAGCTTAATGGCTAAATAATTAGATTTTTTATTGCAAACGGTTAAAAAATTAATCAGTAACATAAACGTATTTTTAAACAATAATGAAAATAATAGAAAGTAAACAAAAATGACTCTGGTTGTCGATCGACCATAAGAAAAAAGAAAAAGCTTACAAAAATTAAATTATTTGTAAAGTTTGGAGACAATGAAGGGTATGTGGATCGATTTTTCTGGGTTGAATTTTATTATTTTCCTTTCAAATCAAGACTCCAGTAGGTGAGGTGTTGTTGAAGGCTATTAACGGAAATTTCTGGATCAGTGTTATAAGTGAGATATATACTATCTCATGCAAACTTTAGGTTGATTAACTGAGATTGGGATTGGGTGTCAGCTGGGTGCACTTGGTACAATTTGGGACCTGAACCTTCCCTGAGGTACACAAGTATTGTGTTCGGCATTTTGGGGAATAAGCCTAGGATATAACCTGAAAAGGGAAATATCTTGATTACAAATGAGAATCAGACTTTGGTCAATGGAGACTTTTAAGTCCAATTTGACATTTAGAATAAATTCCAGAAGAACTGGTGTCTATTCACGGTATTTCGCAGGTCCCTTCATGGTTAGGGTGACCCATTGCCGAAAGCACCTTTTAACCAAAGGCTACATTCCTATGTACTATTAAAGGGTTGGTAAGGTAGTTTATTTTGAAATGGTTGTCACTCTGACTTCGGTCGAAATTTTGTTGGATGTCTTGCCAATTGTCTGCTTTGGGTGAGTTCAACCTTACCAAGAATACTGCAATTTATTAAATTCACTAGTTTTCGTGGTCCGCTTGACCAATTAATATCTTTCAATTAATTAAGGTTTTTAGTTGAGATAAAAAAGTCAGTGTCACGAGCGGGTTTCGAACCCACGATCTTCGGCTCAATACGCCGCTGCTCTACTGCTTGAGCTATCGTGACTCCGATCCACTCGGGCACTAACTTCCGATCTCAACCCCACCTTTTTGAATTTTCTCTCCTTTTTGCCATTTTTCAAATGCCATGTAATCTATTTGGTTCTCAGCGACAAATGAAATGGCTACGGAGAGCTTTAGTGAAGGTATACTTCATTTAAACTTATTAAATTCACTAGTTTGACTTAGTCCGCTTGACCAATTAATATCTTTCAATTAATTAAGGTTTTTAGTTGAGATAAAAAAGTTAGTGCCACAACAAAATTTTGAAAAATGGCAAAAAAGGAGGGGAAATGCAAAAGGTGGGGTTGAGAGGGGAAGTTTGTCCCCGAGTGGATCGTAGTCATGATAGCTCAAGTATTGAGCTGAAGATCGTGGGTTCGAAACCCGCTCGTGACACTGACTTTTTTATCTCAACTAAGAACCTTAATTAATTGAACTGCAATTTATTTTTATTAATGCGTATCGGGTCAGGCTTAAATAGCAGACTGCATTGTTTTCTCCCAATTAAAAAGATGACTCTGATTTTCTTAATCTAGGGTTCTTTCTTATTACATTTACTAGCTCAGCGGAAATCTGATTTTTTCGAACATCCTCCTCCCCTCATTCGATGGGAGAGTTTGAAACTGCTGTTCGTGATGTTATGGCAGAGATGGTCGTCAGAGTGTCTGAATGCATTGTTTTTTTTTTTTTTTTTTTTTTTTTTTTTTTTTTTTTTTTTTTTTTTTTTTTTTTTTTTTTTTTTTTNAGTGATGAGCGCCGTGTCAAAGACTAAACCTTGCGGCCACCGACGCCCCGTTCGTGATGTTATGGCAGAGATGGTCGTCAGAGTGTCTGAATGCATTGTTGTAGCGGAATAAATGGCAGAAGGGCATCTATTACACCTGGGGATGTGGTCTACCTGAAGACCACGTCCACCTCTACTTGCATAGTCAATGGACACAGTACCGGAGATATTTCCAGGCCCTGAATTTTGCACAATTCGTCAAGGTACGCACGAAGCCTTTTTCGTTCTACGTGCTGTCCACAACTTAATAACCCTCCCACGCTATGGACTAAATATCCTACTTACGTTTTCATTTAAGTTTCTAGAAGTATAAAATTTTATTCAAATTTGGTGGGCGGAATGTTTACGCTAATAGTAAATTTGAATTTTGTGCAGCCAGAAGTGGTACTGTTCAATTTGTTCACACACACACAACACTTACGCTTATCATTCAACGCTCGCCGCACCGAACGACCTCTCTCTCAATCTCTCTCTCTCTCTCTCTCTCTCTCTCTCTCTCTCTCTCTCTCTCTCTCTCACTCTCACCCCCCTTTCTCTCACTTTCTCTCTCTACTTTCTTTTCTCTCTCTCCCCTTTCTGTCTCTTTCTCTCTTTACTTTCTCTTCTCTCTCTCTTTCTATTTCTGTTCTCTCGCTCTCTCTCTCTCTTCTGTCTCTCCCCTTTCTCTCCTCTCTCTCTCTCTCCTTTCGCTCACTCTCTCTCTCTCTCCTTTCTGTCACTCTCTCTCTCCTTTCTCTCACTCTCTCTGTCTCTCTCTCTACTTCTCCCTCTGTCCATTCTTAAATTTATTCATTTTCTTTCTTATGCACTAAATGTTATTTTCCTTGTTTTTGCTTAACCCCAGAATTATTAATTACTCGAAACTTAACCAAAGAATGTATTCTGGAGACTTCGACGGAACTGGCCCGAAGATCGTCGACGTCGCGATTCAGGTCGCTGCAGAAAAGGTGAGTCCTTCTTGGATTATTTTCGGGTTAATCTTTAATTATTTTAGTTAAGTATTTTTCATTAAAACCTCGCTCTCATATAATTTAATTGTTATTCGATATGCAATGATATGTACGGGATAAGAATCAAAAATACCTCAATGTTAAATATGAATTTAATATTCAAAGGAACGTACAAAACGTTTAAATAAATAAGCAAAATTGGTTCGGAATTTTCAGAACGTGGGTATTAAAGTTGACAAGTCAGGCACTTGGTGATAAAGCGGTACACTTTGGTATTAAGCATAAAAAAATACTCGATTGAATCTCAAAATCTCAAAGTTTAATATTCATCTCCTTCGTCTCCTTCGCCTTCGGTGGAGTCGACTGCCACCTCTTCGTAGTCTTTTTCAAGGGCCGCGAGATCCTCCCTGGCCTCGGAGAACTCGCCTTCTTCCATACCCTCACCGACATACCTGTACAAAGGAAATGGGTGAGTTTATTCATTAAAAAATACGAAAAATACGACTTACCAGTGGACGAAGGCCCTTTTGGCGTACATGAGGTCGAATTTATGATCAAGCCTGGCCCAAGCTTCGGCAATGGCTGTCGTGTTGGAAAGCATGCAGACGGCCCTTTGCACCTTCGCCAGATCACCACCGGGAACAACAGTCGGCGGCTGGTAGTTGATGCCGACCTGAAACCAGACGAAATTGGAAAATTGCAACGACGACGGAAAACAAATTGCAAAAGAGATCATAGAGAAACAAAACATGAAGGTATAATAAGACTAAAATTAAGTAATTTACGCCATTTTGTTTATATATTAATCATACAGACGTTCCCGACAATAGAGGTCGTTTCAACCCTCGGGGTGCCACGTAAACCATGAAAAAGAGCTGATCCTTTTAAGCCTATTAAGCTCTTTTCCCATTAAAACTAATAAGTTTGTCCACGGGAATATACTGTCTGTTGAGGTACGTTTTTGGAACTATTTCGTTTCTAAAGATCCATTATACATCTTATCACTATCAGATCTAAGAATGAAAGTTTTCCATCTACCTCATTTTATGTTTGAACTGTAACGCTGGATGGCAAGAGATCTCTCTTTCTATTATAACAAGCACCTCATTCAGTACTTTAATTTTTTAATTGAGAATTAGTAGTTTATCTGTATTCCGTTAAAAAAAATTCTATGGACTTTTAAGTCATTATTACTTTTATTTAAAATTCAATACCACCCTTCACAACGATCAAAAAATTCTTTTTATCTAAATATTAGGTAATATTAAATCCATTATATTTAGTGGTCTGATTGACCAAATAACTTCTTTAAATTAATTATTCTTTACGTAAAGTATTAGTTGAAATAAAAAAGTTCAACTATTAAAGTTCACGGGAGAGATTCGAACCAACGAACTTCGGCTAAATACGCCGCTTCTCTACCACTTGAGCTAGCGTGACTTCGATCCACTCGAACACCAACTTCCATTCAAGGTCGTTGGTTCGAATCCCGCTCGTGACACTGACTTTTTTATCTCACCCAATACCTTACATAAAGATTAATTAATGAATGAGGTTATTTGGTCAAGCGGACCACGAAATCTACTGGATTTCAAAAAACATAGATATTCGAATTGGCACAGTTTAGAAAAATACACCATTAATATTTAATTCATTTAAATTGGTATATTAATTAAGTTAATTGTATTTATTATTCTTTCTCCAGCGATGTAGAGAGCTGAGTCAACAAACCCATCTTAGCTAACCAGCTTTGTATTTGTCGATGGAATCTAAGGTTTCTTGGGTCTGGAGAAACATTTGTTAACTAATTCACAGATAGTGCATTATTCATCTGTTTTTCATTGGTTTTTCTTTTCGATTCCGCGGGAATAATGTACGAAAGTGTTTTATTACTGCAATAGATCGCTTATACTGCGCGGGTGGCTTCGACCGGATGGGAATCGATGAGAGAACATTTAAAACGATCAATAAAAACAGAAATTTATGTATAAATATGTGGTGATTAGTGACCGTTAATCGATATTTATTTACAAATCGTTAGAACATTTTCTTTATCGTGCGTTTTTTTCTGTTCAATTAATTAATCTTTTTATGTAAGTTGGTTAAAATGAAAAAGGTAGTGTCACGAGCGGGTTTCGAACCCACGACCTTCGGCTAAATACGCCGCTGCTCTACCATTTGAGCTATCGTGACAAGTGGTCAAGCAACGGCGTATTGAGGCAAAGGTCGTGGGTTCGAATCCCGCTCGTAACACTAAGTTTTTCAATTCAAACACAACCTTACAAAAAACGATTAATTATTTGAAAGAAGTAGTTTGGTCAATCAGACGACTAAATATAATGGATTTTTGTAATAAAGTTGTGAAATGTTGATATAACTTAAAAAGTATCTGGAATACAATTGAGGATCAGACAATGGACAGCTATTTTCCCGTCTAATTTGTAATTCAGAATGACCTCATAAAGTATTGACGTCTGCCCACGGGACACCCTGTATACAATTTTAATCACTTTTAAACTTAAAATATAGGGTTTTTTTCATAGAAACTCAACACCGTTTATACATTATTCTAGCATTTTTAAATATTGATCAAGACAGTTTTATTGATCTCGGACGAGTTTCTTTTGACTTCCCTCAGTCTATTTTCTAAATGTAGGATAATAGGAAGGTTTTTTCTTTGTAAAAAAAATCCACGGCTTTAGATCATAATAGCTTTTATTCTTAGTCTTAGGAGCAAAGACAATGACCTGTCGCGGTTGGGTTGATTAAAATCACAGAAATGTCCTAAAGAAAGGCTGTATTGACCAACATTGTTTTAGCTCCTTCAAACCAGAGACCCCACCCAGGGAAAGTTACGAGCTAAAGGTTACTAGATCACTTGTTTCCAACTTGATAACGGAAGAATGTTCAATCGTGATATTTCTGCGGCGGTTTTGAGGCATTGTTTTATCGATCCTGCCCATTAAGTGTTTTGATGTGGCCTAGGAGCGTTTTCCTGATAACTTGCTGTTCAAACAATTCTTTTCGAGCATAAATGGAAAATGGCAATTTGAAGATAATTATAAAAAAGGTGTGTGGTGATTAGTGACCGTTAATCGATATTTATTTAGAAATCGTGAGATGCGGTCTGGTGTGATGTAGGTTTCAGAAAAACATTTTCTTTATCGTGCCAACGTTTCGATCTTTATTGAGATCATCTTCAGGGCCTGGGATTTACAAACATTGTTTACATATAACAATTACATTTTGGATGTGGAAAAGTGAATTTATACAATGCAAATATATTTTTTATATATTCAATCAAAGTATTTCTACTCACTCAAGGAGTTTGTTTTCTGTGTATCCCAGGCCCTGAAGATGATCTCATTAAAGATCGAAACGTTGGCACGATAAAGAAAATGTTTTTCTGATACCTACATCACACCAGACCGCATCCCACGATTTCTAAATAAACATTTATGTATAATTTATCGTTTTATATTTATAATCGTTCATTTTTGTAATAAAAGAAATATATAACGTTCCATACTTTATAATACATAAAACTTTCTGAATTGTCCTTTTACTTTAAATTATACACCTCCAATCATTTTTGTTGCTTTAATTTTATATTTAATTTTATAAGAAAACTCCAGGGCTTTAATAACAGAATATTTGCCTTTGATTGTTATATTAATTAAGCATGTGCTCCCTTTGTAATTATACAAGAGTTATGCTTCAGGCATTTCCAAGTTTAGCCAGTGTAAATATTCATTGCACAATTAACTAATTAGTGTTGACTCTGATTCAGAGAGAATTGACTGAAATTTTCTAATAAATGTTGTACAATCTCTGATCTAAGTCAATGAATTTGTGTCTTTCAGCGCAAAAACTTTTCAAAGGCTCACGCAAGATACGAGCAGAGTCATGTCATGAATGTTCAGAATTGGTTTAAATTATTCCTAGGGGGAGAATATTTCATCGGATCGCCTAGGGACATGACAGAAAGATCCCTCATCCCTTATGAAATATCTCCAAAGGAGGCCACAGGGTTGTTTAAAACATTCATAAAAGTGTTTTTCGTTTTCACAAACGTCTTTTGTCATGAAAGCGAATCGATTTATATTCTTGGTCGGTCCGGCGACCAACAAGAGAGAATTTTTGGTCCCATCCTGGTACATTTCAACAAGATCTTTACAACCTACTCGATACAGATATTTTATCTTCTAACTCCATTCTGGTAGCTTAGAAGATAGTCGAGAGCAATGATGACCTCTAAGTACCAAACCTCTAAGTATTATGTTTTTAAAATTATTATTATTTCAATTAATTAAGGTTTTTAGTTGAGATAAAAAAGTCAATGGCACGAGCGGGATTCGAACCCACGATCTTCGGCTTGATACGCCGCTGCTCTACCACTTAAGCTATCGGGACCTCGATCCACTCGGACACTAACTTCCAATCTCAACCGCACCTTTGGAATTTTCCCTCCTTTTTGCCATTGACTTTTTTATCTCAACTAAAAACCGTAATTAATTGTAATATATTAATTGGTCAAGCGGACCACGAAATTAGGGAATTATTATTATTATTAAATCCATCCAATAAAATGTAAAACGAAGTAAATCTTCACTAAAGCTCTTCGTGGCCATTTCATTTGTCGCCGAGAAAAGAATCCTGATTACATGACATTTGAAAAAAGGCAAAAAAGGAGGGAAAATTTGAAAAGTAGGTTGACATGGGAAGTTGGTGACCGAATGGATGGAAGTCACGATAACTCAAGTGGTTAGAGCAGCGGCGTAATGAGCCGAAGGTCGTGGGTTCGAATCCCGTTCGTGACACTGGTGTCACTAGCTTTTTCATTTAAACCATGACCTTACATAAAAAGAATAATTCATTGAAAGAAATAATTTGGTCAATTCGACCACTAAATATAATGGATAAATTGCTAAGATAGCTTACAAACTTAAAATGTTCTATACATGACTACTTTAGTATTTTGGATTCCTTTGATAGCTCAACTTTGGAAAAAATAAAAATTGACCTCATCTTTCTTTATAAACTTATGAATTATCAGAACGAGTCTCCTTATTTACTTGTCAAATTAAACTTTAATGTTCCTCAGCTCCCATCTTTGAAACTTGAAATATTCCTCATTTCCGCCCATAAAACTAAGTACATAAAAGAATATCCCATTTATAGGTTAATGCACACAGCTTATCAATGCTTATCCACACCACACATACAAAGATAATATTAGCATTAGACGTAGATTTACTTATTAGGTACAATAAGTAAAAATAATTCACTAAAGCTCTCCGTGGCCATTTCATTTGTCGCCGAGAATCGAATCCTCAATACACGACGTTTGGAAATGGCATAAAAGGAGGGAAAGTACGAAAGGTGGGGTTGAGGTGGGAAGTTAGTGTCCGAGTGGATCGAAGTCACGATAGCTCAAGTGGTAGAGCAGCAGCGTATCGAGCCAAAGGTCGTGGGTTCGAATCCCGCTCGTGACACTGACTTTTTCATTTCAACCAATATCTTACATAAAGATTATTATTATTATTATAGAAACATTAAATAAACTACATACATGGCAGGTTTTTCCAGAAAAGGTTTTATATTTAATAATCCACATGCTTTTCTTCCCTCTACCTTTTTTCCTTCATATCATGATTCATAGCTTTGATGTTTTCAATATACTTCACTTAAAATATAAAATTTTAAAAATTTAGATTTCTTTATAAAAATTTATTTATCAATTCTTTGGATTCATCAGGCTCGTAGAAAGGCCTGCTTTTTCATTTACGCCTTTGGCATTTTGATTATACCGAAAATCATCTGGCAACAGGCTTGATTTGAATAAGGACAAAATCATTAGCTTAATTGTGTAGATTTTCATGAAACATTGGATTTCCATCCCAAAATTTGTTGATGATACAATGCAAAATTTTCAGCTATGTCCATATTAAATATTTTTTGAAAATTTTATTTTTTACCTTAAATCCAGTCGGACACCAGTCGACGAATTGGATTGAACGTTTCGTCTTGATAGTTGCGATCGCTGCGTTAACGTCTTTTGGTACGACATCACCTCTAAAACAGAAAATCATCATTCATTCAAAAAGGGAGAAAAATAATTTCACATCTGTTTTGAAATAAATCTCGGTTAGAAATAGATATGGAATATTGTTCTAATCGTGCTGTATTTATTTTTCTAAGAGTTTAATTGTATTTCAAACATTTCAATTTCTTAGAATTCACAGTATCAAACTCTATGTATAATTAACAAAATCATGTTGATCTCGTAAGCATATTCCTCGGGGTGAATGGGGATGAAGCTTCTCCACTCACGCTAATAAATTGCATTCTCTAACCTGACCCCGTTCATTCTCGCTAATAAGTACAATTATTTTTAAAAAATCACAGGCACACATCAACACAGAAATGCCTATAAATAGAAGTTCCTTTTTTTTCCACAATTACACAATTTTACAAGTGATTATCACATCATAAAGAGATTTGTGGGGCGGTGGCCGCAACGGTTTATGCGTTGACACGGCGTTCATCACTGTAAGTTCGAATCCAGGGGCCCTGCATGCAGGGGGGATTGGAACCCGACATACTTACAAATGGGATTTTCCAAAAACATCAGTACCCCGAGGGTTCATATAACCTCGTAGTTGAAAAGAAAAAAAAATTGTGTTTAAGTGCCGCCAATATAATACCTATAGACACTTTAAACAAATTCTACAGACATATGCACTGTCAACACGACACACCATAAGGACACATCTACATAGAAAACAAACACTTTGAGCCGTGAAGATGAACTCAATAAAGATCGAAACGTTGGCACGATAAAGAAAATGTTTTCTAAACCTACGTCACGCCAGACCGCATCTCACGATCTCCAAATAATTAATACTTAAGATAACAAAATTCCTCATTGTTAATGTCTTTTATGAATTTGTGTTTCATGAATTAATGGTGGGGTAAAAATACGTTAATTTGTACTATTCTTGAGGACTGTAATGTCAAAATTTGTATTCTGTTTCCTCAACACAATACAACTTTTGTATGTTTGTATCTTAAGACAAATCAATGCCATTGTCAAACGAGCTTTGCTAATCGTTATGATTAATATAATTGATTAAAGCTTGAAGTTGATACAATTTTTAGAATAAATCTTTTTCAAACTGAGGTAGGGAATTAATTGTTTTTGGTACCATTTTTTTTTTTTTAATGGATACCAAGGACTGAAGGAGTTCCCTCCTGAGCACTGCGGCTGAGCTGTACAGCTTATTGTACTTTATCCCTGACTCCATTTTTTTTGGGAGGGTCTCGCAACACAAATGTGAACTTGAGCCCCCGTTGTACCGGTGTTCTTCCATCGAAGAAACTCATTTTTAAGGGGGTTGGGACAAATTCAGGGTCGCTGAGATCCGATCCCCTTCCATTGATGAGTGCCTTGTCAATTTCTTTCAATTGCGGCCACCGGTTCCATTAGGCGTCAGAAAAAGTCCAGAGGCGACTGAGGGGATCGAACCCACGACCGCGGGATCTACTAGCCGAGAATCTGACGCCTTAACCACTCGGCTTTTTTTTTATACCATACTTTCATCCTCTATGTTTTATCTATGACACTTTCCTATATTTTGGTCGTTTCAGATGATTGTGGTTTTCCTTTTTTTTGGGGGGGGGGCTTTTCACGATCTCCAGTGGTTGTTAGAGGAGAAAGCAGGGTGAGATGACCCAGATCCACCGACGAAGACGAGATGTTGACTGATCGAATTACAGGTTCATCACCTGGGACAATGTCACAATATAAATTTAGCGTTTTTCGTTCTTCAGTTCGTGTATGGTTTTCTGAGGAAAAGGCCAGTGGTAATAGTCCGTGACATGGCGCTCATCAATGTAAGGTAAAGGTCGCGAGTTCGAATCCAGCGGCCCCGCACGCAGGGGGGATTCGAAACCGACATACTAGGTTTTTTTCAAAATCATCAGCACCCCGAGGGTTCATATAACCTCTGCTGATGCGAAACCCTTGTTTAGAAAAGAGAGAGAAAGAGTTGTGTGTGAGTTTGGTGATACCCATACGCAATCTAGCATGAATGACCTTTTCCCTTACTCATCCAGTCTCAGTAACCCAGGGACCGATCTCTTTTGTAATTCTAAACAATTCCAAGCATAGATAGCAATAAATAAAATAAAATTTGAAAAAAAAAGGTAAATTATCAAGATTGTATAAAAAAAGAACTGCGCATTAAAAAATATGAAAGGCATGTTTAGTTTTCTAGTTGTTTCTGTGTTATAAATCGTGATATTATAATCTGAGAGTGAGAAATTTTAATGTGTGCACTTTTCTGTTTTTTTGAATTGGTTTAAATAAAGTGACAAGACAACGAAACATAAAGATGTTTTGGACACTGGGAGACATTGGCCAAGGATAGTTTTAGGCCATGGCTCTAGGAGGCCCAGCCAGCCGAAACCGACAAGCCCCGGGAAGAGGAAGGTTTACCTTTTATGTTATATATGTTATAAACTCTCTTTCACGAAGGTCCATTCGGGGATGTGAATAAAAACCACCAACCACGTTTCGATCTTTATTGAGCCCTGAAGATGATCTCAATAAAGATCGAAACGTGTCACGATAAAGAAAATGTTTTTCAGAAACCTACGTCACACCAGACCGCACTTCACGATTTCTGAATAATTATCGATTAACGGTCACTAATCACCACACATTAAATATAGAATTTAGTCCAGTTTGAAAAGACCTGTTATAAATATTTTCCATCGAATAAAACGATTTTCTCCTGAAAGAGTTTCCATCCCCCTTTTTTTTTAAATCGTATTGTAATATTTTTAGTGTATTCCAAGGAAATAGATTCTGTGACAACGAAAGGATTCTGTCAACGATAAGCCTGGGAATGGGACTCTCACTTTAGTCGAATCCTCCCAAGTAAATTGCCTTCGTGAGAATGAATCGAACCCACGACTCAAAATAAATACAGCCGGCAAGGGGAAAAAAATCTATCTTTCACTAAGACTCAAAGCTTCTCATCTAGTTACGGAAATTGTTCCGCTCGATCTGGAACATGACTTCCTTACCAAGTCTTTGTGACAAAGAACCCTTAGATCAACCGCCAATGCAATAAAAAAAAAGTTTTCTGTCTGTAAGAAATTCATTATAAGAGATAGAAAGCTGATTAAATCAGCAAAAATGAAGAAATCTTTCATGATTCATAAGATAATCAGTAATGAAATTCGATAGTAACTTTTCAGAAAGTGCTACAAAGTATTCAAGTCGAAGAAAAATTAATTATATAATCAGAGCAAAACAAATTTTCAATAAATCTTAGCATAAAAGCATAAAGCTCCCTTGGAGGAGAAATTTATTTGTCTTGCGTCAAATGAGTAAAAGAGAAATTTTTCTTTTAGCATAATAATGATCTTAACGGCAGTTATAGAAAATTCGTGAAAAATGACGTAACTTTAGATCCAGGGTTTATAATGATGAAAAAGATTTTAATTACGATGGCAAAAAGTGATAATAAATTTTCATTTTTTAAACATTATTCATCACAAAAAAATATACAAAAATGCTTTAGATAATAAATAAGTTATATCTAAGTCCTCTTGTATTCCACATCTTGCAAGATTACGTACTTGGACTTCACAAAGTACCATATTTAGACCGCTTTTAGCCCAAGTTTGTGGGTTTATTTGCACGACAACTTTAAACCGCCCAATCGACTCTTATTTAATTTTGTTGGCAAGTTGGCGAGATTTGAAGGGAAGTTTGTCCCAGAGGGTCTTATTCACGAACTTGTCCAACTTGGTTATTTCACCCCCAAAATTTTATTCCGTTATTTGTAAGCCTCACGAATTCTTGACAATTTTTATATTTCAAAAATTATAAGTTTTACTTATGTGTTATACTCTAATAAAATTACATAACTTATTGATATTTTTTTTCTTTTGAAATGTTAAATATCTGGCAGAGAGGGGGAATAAGGACGTGGAATCCGCCATTTTAATGAAACTATTTTTGGTGATGCTAGGTGCTGCAAAGCTGACCTCCAACTTCATCCTCAATGCACCCCTATACATAAAACAAGCTCCTGGACTTCGATCTTTCCATCGTTAATCCCAGACCGACATTTTCATTTCGCAACTGTCACTCAGCAGTGCCGCCGCGATGTAGCTGTTATTTCTGTCTTCCTTGGAACAGAATTGTTTCCTTTCTTGAAATGGATCAGGCTTTTGATCGAGTTTGGTATCAGATGTTCTTCCTCAAAGACTTTCTTCTCTCTAGATACTTACTGCCTTGCCCTTCGAGATACCTCTCTGACCGGTACTTACGAGTTATTGAAGGGTCCACGTCATCCCTACATACTTTATCCTCGCCTGTCCCACAGGGCAGAGTTCTAGTCCCCGTACTACACGTTATATACAGTTGGATTCACTCGTTTCAACTAGAAACCTTCAGGAAGACCTCACTCTGCTGAAGTCATGGTGTGAAAGTAAAATTTAACCCAGAAAAATCCACTCACATAACCTTTACTCTCCTCCGGTCTACTACAATCGGATACCTCTCCCAACTGCTTCAAGGTGCGGTACTTTGAACAAAATACTGATAATCGTCTGCCAAGGGGGCAGACGATAATCGTACGACGACAAGAAGTAATGAAACTTTAGAGATTCTTTCACGACTTCTCATAAGCAAAAGTCTGCAAAAGCATATGACACCATTGCGAAGCCGATATGGACTTTCGGACTGGAAGTGTCGGGTTCAGCCAAACATTCCAAAATCGTCGTCATCTAAAGAACCAAATCCATAATCTTCAGAAAAATCCTCGATGTTCCATTTTTTTTGACCGACGTATAGTCCTTTCATTGATGTGACCCCCGCTATCGTCAACTTCATGCAAACCTCCCAACAACCATAAATCTTCAAATACAAAATTGACATCCCGAGGAATTCCCACCAAACGTCCTAGATCACCTAGGACCCATAGGGGTAGGGTTAACGGGTAGTTTCTTTACCTTTGTTTATTTATTTTAATTTATAACCTCACTCTTGTTTGGTT